GGGCCTCAGACTTGGGGCTTGTACTAAGACTTAGTCCCAAAGAATCAAACTTGGACTAGGGATTTGGTACCAAAGATTTGGACCCAAAGACTTGCCAACATCCCTGATACTCAAGTGTCCCAATTGCCATAGATGACGGATTTTCGAGACAAATGACTCCTGAATTGCTGCCCAGTTTGTCACTGCTCACCCATCACATGGTACAAACTAATTGTGAAAACAGGACCTGCTGTGTTAGATAAGTGAAAACCTAACTGGATTAACCTATTCAGCAAAATGACTTGATCCATCTGTCTTCACCAATTTGTTAACATGCTTTTGATATGAACTTTCCACACAGTGAATCTGTGGCATGATGTAAACTGAAACAAATTAATCAAAACTTTTAAAAGATTAAATAATAACAGTATTTAGAAATGTGTAGAATCCAGAATTCACTGCAAACATATCTAAACATACTAGGAAGAAAAATATGTAATATTTTCAGCTCTACAAGAGGCAGAGTGGGGCATGTACACATATTTTGTAAAGGAAGAATGATCTGTGTGGGCAGTTCTGTGTGTCTCTGTAAATAAAATGTTGTAAGAGGCACAATTTTGCCAGAGGTTTCAGAAGTGATCTCTTAGCAGTTTCTCAGGCTTGTATACAAAGACCAGGAATTCCTCATGTCATCTCTTCCTAGGAAGATGTACTCTGTGAAATCTACTCTTTTAAATCAGTGAAGATGGTACTATTTTCAAAGGTGTGATCAAAAGGGAGGTGGGAGAATCAAATCTTCTTTTGCATTTCCAAAAATATTGGTAGACTCATCATTCTTCTATAGAAGCTAAAAATTATGTGCATCAAGTTTCTTACTGCCAATGTTTTTCATCTCTTATCGTTTGTAAGAAACTGTAAAATTCTAAACAGTTCAGTACCTTTTCCCAAATAATCCTGCAAAGGATAGGTGCTACTTTAGGGCAGGAATTGTAATAATACTGAACAGATTAGTGTTTTATCGGGAAAAGAATTACCAGAAAACACCAAAAAATCTTTTAAAAATCATAATGGATCTTGTTTTTACAGTTAGCCAGGAAATCTCATTCGTACAGGGAAAATTTGGTGAGGAGACTCAGCACGGTGAATCTTAGAATATCACAAAGAGTGAATTCTTTCCCAGGTATTCTCCACATCCCTAAGAGGCTTTCTGCTATTGGAAAGACACATTCTTCTTAAAAACTCTTATATTAAATTGGACAGAACCCTCTTATAAGTGGAAAAATATTTCTGCTATTGGAAATACATGTTTGGAGCTAATGTAGGTTTATATTTTTTTTCAAATATTTGCATATTTACAACAAATATTGGAACTTCTGCTTGGCAGATTTGTATTATTCATTGCTTGGGTATTGTTGTTGTTTCCATTAATAATTCAAATGTATTAAATGCTGTATATTATTAAAATATATAGTTTCTTTAAAAAAACCTACATGTTATTTGTAATGTAGCACTACACCTCCCACCCAAAAATAACAAATCATAATAATAATCAATTAACATAATGCCAATCATTTTTAAACAATCAGCTAGTTCTAGCTCATCAAACATGTAGAAGTTAATATGCTACTTAGATACCCTAAAATACTGATAGTTTTCTTACCATTTCCTTTGAACAGAATGCTTATGTCATACTATAAAATTGATTTCACTTGTGATATGACAGGCTACTTTTAAACATTACTCCTTTTAACTGGGTAAACGCTTCTTGCTCTGGCAATCCCCATCTTATTCCTTTAATTATTCTTTTCTTAGTTAAATCAGTGAGAGGTGCCGCAATTTCTGCAAAATTAGGTACAATCTGGCAATAATAGCCCACCAGGCCTAAAAATTGTTGAATTCCTTTCTTATTCCTTGGTCGTGGCCAATCTGATATTTTCTCAAGTTTATCTCGTACAGGTTGAATTTTTCCCTGTTCTACCTGGAACCCTAAGAATTTCACTCCCCTTTTTGCTATCTTACATTTGGAGGTGTTCACCTTAAGCCCTGCTTTTCTTAATTCTGTCAGTACCTTTCCCAACTATTCCATATGTTCTTCCCAACTATTGCTATAAATTAAAATATCATCTGTGGGCCCAGTTCTCTGAACTGAGGTAAATGCCCATCTGATGTTCCACTGATTCAAATGTGCTTACTCTACGTGGGGCCAGGTCTCTGAACTGAGGTAAATGCCCATCTTTAACTGTTCCACTGATTCAAATGTGCTTACTCTATTTGTGGATTATTTGACATAGCAATTTTTGTTAGAGTAGATTCATTTGAATCAATGAAATTTAGATGATTTGACTTATCAAATTACCATTGATTCAATGGGTCTAGTCTGGTTGTGACTTACTATGCTAAACAACATGATTTCAACCTATACCAAACTTAAGATACAACTCAGTTACAAACACTACACTAGAATTAAATTGATTATGCTATTAAAATACAATTAAGGTTAGAACATTTAAAAATATTTTGATTAAAATATTAACACTAGTTTACGAAAGGAAAAAAAAAAGAAATCATGAGCATTGGCTAAAATCCTGTGGTTTCAGACATTCATTCCTGAACAGCTGCCTGAATAAAATTTTTTTGCCAACAGTAGCACAGCAGGGAGAGGACAAACCAAGAATCTCTTGCCAAAGAATTTTTGAGGGTGTTTTCAGAGAAGCCCTCTCTTGAGTCCCCACCAAATGGGGCTCAGGAGATGGTGGGGTCATGAGAAGCACCTCACCAGCAGAGCTCAAAGCTCAGGCAGGCTTGTATGGTGAAGACTGATTAGAACAGCAGTTCAAGAGCTGGAAGAGTCACAAGTTCTCTATCCGTGAAAAAGCCATACTTCTTCAGAGCTGGTAGTTGTTCATTGGAGTGTTTGTTAAAAGGTTTTATAATAGGAATTTGGTTATTATAGCTTCTGTTAGCAGAGCACAAGGCAGAAAAAAACAAACATGAGAAACTAGTGTAATATTTCCTTTTCGCCTAGTTACACACAAAACTAGCTGTTTCCATAGTAAGAAATCACTTCAGATATATATTTAAGTAGAAAGAAGTATTTTTAACTCAGAGTTATCTTCTGTAGTTCCAGTTAAATGGAAAAAGACAGAAGAGGAGTAAAATAATATAATTCCAAATAAACAGGAAGAAGGGGCATATTCCCATGCCAGAGGGAGAAAAAAAATTACCAATCAAATTACTGGCAAAGAACAATAACGTTTGGCTCTCACTCCCACTGATGCCCAGTGTTTGTGCATGCAAGATTATCATTATCTGAACTTTTTTTGATAGAGTGATGGGAGAAATAGAGACTCAGAGATTCTTTCCTTACAGAACATTTTTCTGTCTTACAGTGAAGATGGGGAACATCTGGCCATCCAAATGGTAACTCCAAAACAGTGCAAGCCACCATGAACAAGGGCCAACGGAAGTTGCCCTATCTGGAGAGCCACACATTATTTAATCTCTGCTGTGCCCTGTCACTTTAGTGTAATGCCATTTCTTGCTGGGTCTTAAGAGACACAAGTAAACAGATAGTAGTATCTGCTCATGCTCTGCCTCTAAACATAACAGTGGACCCAATCCTTTCTGCCATAGCAGGGAGGTGAAGATAAAACCAAAGCATCCTTTCTCTTTCTGGCACATCTGTATCCCACAAACATCAATTCAAATGGAGACCGCAGCAGAAGACAGAGACTTGAAAGGGCAGCAATGAAGGAATTAGAAAACATCTTTGGGTATGAGGATGTACAGTATCACTGGAGTCCAAGACCAAGTTCATCCACACTATTGTATTCCCAATCACTACGCATATGTGTGGAAATTGGATAGTAATAAAAGTTAACAGGGAAAAAAATTATTCATTTGAAATATGGTGCTGAAGGAGATATTTGCAAGATACCCGGGACTGTCAGAAAGACAAGCAAGCGAGTCCTAGAGTAAATCAAGCTTGAACAATCTCAGGAGGCAAAAATGTTGAGGCTGTAACACTTTGGACACATCATGAAAAAGCGATTCTCAGGAAAAGACCATAAGGTTAGGAAAGGTAAAGGAAAATAAGATCAGATGCAAGATGGATTGTTTCCTAAAGGAAGAACTGAACAGGGCTGTTGAGGACTGGACATTTTGCAGATAACGAATTCATAGGGTCACCCATTTGACAGTAGAGAACAATAATAATCTTTCAAAAGGCTTAGGGCAGGAAGGTTAAAGTAGAGCGGAAGAGAACTTGCAAAAGAGAATTTCTGGACTACACTTTCCAAACTGCAGCTGGCTGTGCTTGCTGAGGGATACTGGAAGCAAACTTTTTCTGAAAGGGTTTCCAGGGAGTTCCTTGATCGGTGCTTTTGTTCTCGGGCTTTTTCAGCCCCATGCCACAAACAGGGCAAGGTAAAGAAAGACAATTTTTCTTACTACTGTTCGCTGTTTTTATTCCCTCTCGCAAACAGTTGTTCGTTTCTCGTTCTTCCTCAGCTGCCCTATTGGTGCCCGGTTTTATTGGAAGGAACATGAAAGGAAATTCAGAAGCCGGCTGCTCTTCTGGAGGGAAAAAGCCGCTGCGCCCCCCCCCCCAAATTGCGGAGTTACACCTCCGTTTTTCCCGCGCTTTCCGTTCTTCCCTCATCTTTTCTATAAGCGGCGGTGGGAAAAGAAAAGAGGAGGTCGTTGTCACTTTCCCCTTTCCTCAGGCGCCTCCTTCCCGTCGCCTCCCCCTTTCCCTCGGCTCTAGTAGTCGCCGTACCCCTAGCGGATGCTGTGGCGTGTGTTCTGCCGAGGCAGAAGCTGTGGTACTTCAAGGCAGGGCGAGGCAAAACTGGTGGGCGGGGAGCCCAGCGTCTCCCGTTCCTTATTTATTTATTTATTTTATTTGACCGTTTCCCTCCCTTTTCTTTCACCAACACTTCAGCCAGCCAGTATTTGCCAGGCAAGCCAGCCAGCCAGCCAGCCAGGCAAACAAGCCAGCCGGGCAAACAAGCAAGGAAAGAAAGAAAAAAATGAAGGGGTTTCAAAATGGCCCATCCTTAAGGTAGCAGCAGCAGCAGAGCCGGGTCCTCGTGCAACAGGAACAACAACGGCTGCCGTCGACGCCGTTGCGGGGGGTGGGGGAGAAAAAAAAAAGGAGGGTGAGGAGAGGAAGGTCCTCCTTTTCGGTCACTTTGCTGAAGCGGCTTTTTTTTTTGCAGCCCCCCCCCCCCTGTGACTTTTGCCTTTCTTTCTGCCGCCAATGGTCCAAAGCGACATGTCCAAATCGCCTCCCAACCCAGCCACGGCGGCGCAGGAGATGCAGATGGAGCTACTGGATAACCCCCCGGCGCTGGTCACAGCCGTGCAGGTACAGAAACGTGGGGATGGTACTTGAGGGGATGGTTTCTGGGGTGTCTTTCGTTGCGTGTGGCTCCTGCCTGAAGCAGCTGCCTGGTTTATTTTATTATTATTATTAATTATTTTTTGCTTAGGC